GTATATATATATACATTTGAGATAAAATGTGTTGCGATTTCTGAGAAAGAGACAAGTGTGGTGCTAACCTGAGATTGTGTTTTTGATTCTCACAAAGATTTTCTCAAAGTCAGCAAAGTCATTCCAGGAAGACTGGAACATGTTCATGAACCGATTCACACACAAATTCTCAATTCTAGGGGGAAAAAATTAAAATCTATTAAAATCCTCAACATCCAAAACATTTCTCATAACTTCAAAGTGAAATCAAAATCAAATAATTACAGTAACTACAGATGGTAATAAAATTGTGATTGTTTTTGCAGCATTTTATGCAAAATTACCAACACTTTATATATGCAAGGATATTTTTAACTAACTTTGAAGAACACATCTGAATTTTGATTGGGTAGCTTTACTTCAGAATTCAAAGTTTTGACTGGAGCTTTTATTGGATAAACCAATTTTGGATTTGCCATTCTTAATTCTGTTCATTTGAGCGAGCTCACAGATGTACATGAGAACACAATGACTCAGAAACGCTCAGTTTTGTTTTGTTTTTTCCAGGTATTTTTCAGTTCAGAAAAAGATTCAAGTCAGGGTGAATCCAGGCTATAGAGACAGGAAGTTGGAGCGTCCCGGTTCGTTTCGCCTCACGGAGCTTCCACCCTGCTGAGTTGACCACGTTTCTGTTTAAATCTGTACACAAAAGCAACTGGCTGATCCATTAGCCTGCTAAAAACCACCACTGAGTTTGATAGCTTCAAAGTCAGAGAGGAACTTTCCTACTTTGAAGAGGATTAAAACCCTTTTCATTAACACAGCATGACAGTCATGTATCATGTCACATTGGTCATGTTATCCACTAGCACACAAAGAAAACAGGAGCTGCAGGACTTTAACTACAAGTAACTGACAGGTTTTGTGCAGAGGAAGAGCTGCCAACTGGAAAATTCCCTTTAAGTGAGACTTGAGCTTTTCTGAGGAAAAGCTTTTATTTCTAAGCACTGGATACAGCACTGTTAAAAGTGAACTGGGTGGTGCTTAGTGCTTAAGGACCCAGTCTCTTGGATTGTGAGATATTATTCAGTTACTTGAGAATGATGATTAGACAGCAAATAAAGTCTTCTTGAAAGTCCATTTCATTTTTCAAATACATTTTTATATATGCTGTCCTGAGGCAGCGTAAAATGAGGTCAGAATCTGGAGTTTTCAGCCAAAACTCTGAATTCTGGCCTCATCGGAATCAGCAGGATCTAATAGTGGCTGAGGTGTCTGCGTTCATGACAAAACTGATGTTTCAAGCCATCTGGATGGATTGTGTTTGAGCTAATATGGTTCAAAGCCCGTATTAAGAGTCTGAAATGTTTTATGATACTGATGGAAATCAGCTGCTATCCCAACCACTGGAAACCTGTTTGCTTGTTTGATTTCTTTAAAGCAGGCGGCTGCACGTACGCCTTACTGTAGTTGAGTATGAAGTCCACTCCTTTCTCACTGTCAAACTGGATGTCTCGGGGCAGATCCTTGTGTCTGCTGGCGTCTATGCTCATGGGGAAGCCGGGCTGCCACTCCTTCCACCTGCAGGGTCAGAAGGTTGCTCGTTAACAGCCTCGACCCTCCTGCGCTGCGCGGGTAAATTAAACAAACCTGTAGGTTTTTCTCCTCTGATCCAGCTCTTTCTGTCTGTGCTGCTTCACCAGGCTGGTCTTATCATCCTGAGGCAGAAATGCTGCAACAAGGATGTGATAAAGTGAGACTGAAATCTCTTGACTGACAGGAAGAAAAAAAAGAAGATTCAGACAAAAGGATGAATTCAGAATTACCTCGTCCATCTCGAAGCACCACTTCCTTATCATCCACCAGCCAGCGGAAGCAGGGGAATTCCACATGTTCTCCAATTGGGGTTTTGACGGTGACATACTTGCAGTACCAGTCGTCCTGCATCCAGTATTTCTTCTTCTCGATCTTCACCAGCACAATGTCCCCCAAGTTTTCCCCAACTCTCACTTCATAGGAGTCCACCTGCAATATGGGTTGCTGCTGTGAAAAAAAACTGGCTGCTGGAAAAATGCTGTCACTCAGGAAATAAACCTTGCATCAATGTGGAAATTAAGGTATATTCATTTAAACATGAGTCCTGTAATTTGACATATTTTTAATAGAGAAAATGTAGCTTTTTAACACTTCAGCATTGAGTTTAATGACATCGCCATGAAACCTTTCAAGTTGTTTTTTCTATTTCTTTACTTTCACCTCCAGGGCCGGCCCTAGCCAGTTTGGTGCCCTAGGCTAGATTCAGGTGGTGCCACTGTGCAGTTTTTTAAATCTTACTGCCAATTTTTTCGATTTCATGTTTTTTAATCTTTATATGTTTATTTGTATGTCTATGTTGTCAAATTAAAATAGTTAACAATATAATTAATATGAAACAAAGCACCAGAAGTCTACCTCAACCCTGCAAACCCCTCCTGACAGCAATGAGGAACACCTGTTGTGTTAATGAGCAGCTGTGGAGTGAAGCAGTTCTGGGGGGGAAGGGGTATACTCCTCCAGAATGTTTATTAAAAGATCTCAAAACTATGTATTTTCCAGCCATTTAAGAGCATTTTACTAAATTTTGGGGATTAACAAAACAACATAAAATCTGTAGTTTATGAAGGTTTCTACCTTCATAAACTACAGATTTTAGAAAACCAGACCTTAACCGGAACTTTATCTAAGATCATAACTTAAACTTTCATTATCCTTATTTTGTTTTCTGTTTACACACCGAGCACCAGCAGTTAGTCTTGACTGCATCATTTGATAATTTTATCACGAAATATCCTCTGCACCTTATAACACCTTGTAAAGGAAAATGAAATCGTCACCCATGTATTTAAGTTTTGAATGTATTTTACTCATGTTTCTTTCTTGTTTTACTTATTAATGTCTTGTATGCTTACTGTCATGATATATTCTGAATCATTTCAACTGATGTTGTAACCTTCCGGTAAAGCCCCTTTAAAGTGTCATTTCTTGTTGTTCCAGCCTAAACGACTGGATTGCACAACTATTTGTCTTCTTATTATTGGAACGTGAACATGTAAGAGACGATGAAATAGGAAGTATAACCACATTCTAAGGTGTTTTTCTCTGTTTAAGGACCACAGAACAAGTTTTAGCTGAAAAACTAGGAATTTTTGCTGCTAAGATAAAAAAAAAAACCACTCCTTGTATGTCAGAAATAACCAGTTTTGAGACTGGTTTCTGCTAAAGGTATAAAAAGATGCTTCACTGGGGCTGTGTCCCCAGACTCAACTTGCATTGTTGAATGCATGTTGACTCTCATTTTATTGCAATAAAATTACTCAGAGACCGTTGCAGTGAAGAACTTTTTTGATCATGTATTTCTGCACTTTGTTTAACAGACATGGAAAAGTTTTTTTTTCCACCACAACCTCGTGTAGTAAGAAAGCTGGAGAAACCCACAGAACAAGTTACATTTATAAACCCATACATGTCAACTTGTACGGATTGTCCATAAATTATGAGGATTTTACGTCATTTTGCAGGTATACGGACGTATCGAGCAATCTTATGGATTTTTTCAAGTCTACCGGATTTTTTTCAAAACCTCTTTTTCAAATTTATCTAACATGTCAGAGTCTGCAGGACGATTAAAAAACAACAAATAACATCAAATAGCCATCTACCAACCTTTTCTGCTGCTAGAAATAAGTTTTGAACTTTTTCCG